TCCTCCTGCTCGACTTCCTCCTGCTCGACTTCCTCCTGCTCGACTTCCTCCTGCTCGACTTCCTCCTGCTCGACTTCCTCCTCCTCTGCCTCTCTTTCCTTGTTCTTTTTCACACCACCTTCTCCTGTTTCCTCTCCATTTGTAGGCTGCTCGACGTTCGCTTGTATTTCGTGGTCCTCTACGAGCTGGCTGCCTGGTTCTTCTTGGTCCAGTCCCCGTGCGTGATCATAATCAGCTTCAATCTCCAAAGTCAATCTGCTTGATCTGGATAGTTCTTCAACCCGGCTTGAAGTACCGGGACTTGCCATATTTGATTGCCCATCAGCTTGACTCCGACCTAATCGTTCAATATCATATGCACGGAACGAGGCATGGAACGCCCCGCTTTCCTTACGTATCAGAGACCCATCGGCTCCTGCTGGAGAAGGAGGTGCTGTCTCGAGGATCGAGCAGCTACTCAAAAGCCTGGGTGGTTTTTCAACCGTCGGCTGATTTGAAACAGCCGCTGAGTCGCCTGAAGGGAGCTCATGATCTTTTTGAACGCGTGTGTCATCTTCAGTCATGGCACTGATAAAAGGAGACCCATGCGTTAGGTCTGAACTGGCGTCAGACGTGAGTGAAAGAGCTCGAAGGAATGCTTCAGCGTCCCTGCAAACATCCTGAACAAGCCGCGAGATAGTGGGACAACTTTGTGACACAAAGATACCGTCATCAGTGAGACATGAACAATCATGCGAAGTCGTTGAACTGAGCGCAGTGAAGAGAAAATGTCGGAAACTATCGCAAACAATATGGCCGCTAGGGGAGGGAATGCTATGATCCTCAAAGGGCGAAGAGTCCCGTAAAATCATTCCGCCGAGCGGCTTCTCTTATCGCATGGGCACGGTGAATAGTAACCGGTTCCGTTGGGCGTATTCCATTCTTCCCGAGAATGGAAGTCACGTGCGTAGTGAGGACAAAAGAGAATTGGCTTCACCTCCAAACGCTGCTTCCAAAGATCTATCGCCGACTGTCTCTATATAAGCCTCCTACCCTCAATTTTGTGAGGTAGACAGCTACTAGAGAGTGGTGCATCGCATAGCCTCCTCTGTCCCACAACTTTCATTTGTGCAGTCACGCACCACGAAAACTTCGCTTAGTCAATTCTAGGGCTCTTATTATTGGCTCGTGGCACATTTAGCGTTTTTCAAATAGTTCAATCGTCGAGACCGACCAGATTCAGTGGTCAAAAGGTACCGGAGGAACTTGTGGTTAGTAAAGCCGACCACATTTTTCTGAGTAGTGACGCAACCTGTTGTCTTCACGCACGATTCAGCATGGAGTCTCCACTTCTGACACACAGACACTCCTACTTCCACAGTTCTACGTGGAAAATTATCCTTGCCCTTTCGCGCTCTTCCGAGTACATGGTCGATGTAGGGCGAGTCATTGGTCGAGACCGCATAAGACGCTGTTCAGATGTCGCAGGTTCTGCAAGGGGTGTATCTTTGGCCAATGAAGTTTGAGCACGGTTCCTCACAGCGCCGATTGGATGAACGAGCGCCCGCGGGACAGGCAACGTACCACTGCTATCCAAGGCCTTAGTTGGGCGCCCGAATATGACTCACACCCATATCTGCATGTGTTGACGGAGTTGGACCTATGAAGACACTATCTGGTCTAGCCCACGATATGCGTGTCTCAGTACAGACTAGACTATACCTAAAACAGTCTAACACCACGCACCCTGAAGGAAATGTGGCATCTGGACTAGCGTACTAGTCACTGGGGAGCAGGGTGGAGTTCAGGATGAGCTCCCGGGTGTGAGAGGGGAGTTCAGGGTGAGTTAGAGCAGCGCTGCTCACCCTCTAGAACCGGAAAGGAAATCGCAATTCTCAGAAACTGGGCCATAGTCTTATAGTAGTATAGATTACCTATTACTATACTAAACATAAGATATTATAATAATCTCACACTAAGGTTAGACCTATAAATCTTTAGTAGATAACGTAATTTTCTAGCCTAAAAGACTTAAAGGCATTAATAGAAAAAGTATAGTTAAGGCACCCTTATATATAGGCAATCTTAGGTATTAATTTCAATAAACGGGCGGAACTTATCCCTTTTTCTTTCTATGCGGAGCTTTTTAAGTTAGAAAACTTCTCTCCCTACACCTATTATCGTTATCTTAATAATATAATTAGTTATAAATTCGCGATATAGAGAGGCTCACTATTCTCTAAACTAATGAATATAGACTAGAGCCTAGGATAAAGGCTTATATTACTTATAGTAAGAGATCTTATTAACACTAATATATCTTAACTTTTAATAAGTGCCTATTCTTCGCAGAATCCCGCAAAATATAATGTGATAGAATACTTCTATTATACGCATAATACTATTACCTAAGCATTAACTATTATTACCTAATTTATAAAGCTCTAAGATAACTAAGGAAGCATACTAACTTCGCATTATTATAGAATAACTTAATAACTAATAGCATACTCTCTATAGCTATCTTAATCACTAACTTATCTTAACTTAGATATTCACTCTTAATGTAGTAAGAGTCTTTAACGTAAGATAGCCCTTTAATCTCGCAATAAGAAAACTCTTAACTTCTAACTTATGTAATTTTAGCATTATAACTAAGAACCTATATCTTCGATAATAGGCCTATATATATATCTTAATTCTGTACCTTACCCTTAACGAATTAAGGACTATCCCTTAACTAGAATTCCCTAGAGCCCTTACTTTGCTATAAACTAGCCTTATCTTTATGGCTAACACTCTAAAGTATTAAATTTACCTAACTAGATTTCTCTTAGTAATGCAGAATACCTAGCTTATTAGTGTGTTACTTCTATTAGCCACTAAGTACTATTCTAAAATCTTAGATTCTCTGTATTCTCTTAGCGATTTAAGCACTAAGCGCACTATAAGTCTATAGACCCTTAATTATAATAGTAATAAGGTGTTAACTAAGTTTCCCTTTAAACTTATATTCGTTATAGAGCTAAACAAGCTTAAATAATAATACCTAGTGAGAAAGACATTATTCCATGAAATTTATACTATTATTAGGGGATTATAGAACTACTTTATACGCGTTCTAAGTACTCTAAAAGAACGTTAAATATTTTGACATATCTTATTCCCTTCACTAGATACACTAAGCACTTATTAAACCACTTATTTTCTTAACTAATTAGTATGCCTAATGATAGCGAATAAGGCTCGCTATCTTATTAAATCCTTAAACTTTAATAGATAATTAAACCTACTAGCTAGGATATCTAGAAACCTAATATCTAAGGGAAAAGAGAACATAAAAGTAATAGGTTATAGTGACCTAGTAATTTATTAATAAGAGTTCGCATTTAATAAAACCGCTTTACTTTATAAGCTATATTATTACTGCGCGTATATAGGCTACTATATATATAATTATTTAGAGAGCTAGCTATATATAAATCTCTATACTATATATTTTTAGTCCCTTAGCTAGTTATATTAATAAGTGTGCTCTAGAGTGAAGTGATAATAAATCATATCTAGTTAGAGAGTTTTTTTATAATATATCTTCTTATAGTTAAAGGTTTATTATAACTATAAACCTTTATTAATAAGAGAATATCTAAGTTTAGCGTGTATATATATACGTAAAGAAGCTTATTAATATTACCTTTATATTCTTATTTAGTTATAGCTATATAATAACCATTAAGAATAAGCTATTAACCTTAAGATATAACTTACTTTAAGAGAGTAAGCGAAATTACTTAATATTTAAGGTAAAAAGCTAATTATAAGTAAGAATAATAGTTTATATCTTTAAATAAAGATATTATCTTAGGAGTAACTTTTACTACAGTATTTTATACACTCTATAATTAAATCTTATCAAAT